CTCCCTTGGGTGGGTCCCGGGTCCCCTGGATCACCGCACCCCGGTCACCCCGACTCTCCTCCATAGAGTCCGCTCCCTTGGGTGGGTCCCCAGGTCCCCTGGATCACCGCACCCCGGTCACCCCGACTCTCCTCCCATAGAGTCCGATCCCTTGGGCGGGTCCCCTGGATCACCGCACCCCGGTCACCCTGACTCTCCTCCCATAAAGTCCGCTCCCTTGGGCGGGTCCCGGGTCCCCTGGATCACCGCACCCGGGTCACCCCGACTCTCCTCCCATAGAGTCCGCTCCCTTGGGCGGGTCCCCTGGATCACCGCACCCCGGGTCACCCCCATTCTCCTCCATAGAGTCCGCTCCCTTGCGCGGGTCCCCTGGATCACCGCACCCCGGTCACCCCGACTCTCCTCCCATAGAGTCCGCTCCCTTGGGCGGGTCCCCTGGATCACCGCACCCCGGTCACCCCCACTCTCCTTCCATAGAGTCCTCTCCCTTGGACGGGCCCCGGGTCCCCTGGATCACGGCACCCCGGTCACCCCGACTCTCCTCCCATAGAGTCCTCTCCCTTGAGCGGGTCCCCTGGATCACCGCACCCCGGGTCACCCCCACTCTCCTCCATAGAGTCCGCTCCCTTGGACGGGTCCCGGGTCCCCTGGATCACCGCACCCCGGTCACCCCGACTCTCCTCCCATAGAGTCCGCTCCCTTGGGCGGGTCCCGGGTCCCCTGGATCACCGCACCCCGGTCACCCCGACTCTCCTTCCATAGATTCCGCCCCCTTGGGTGAGTCCCCAGGTCCCCTGGATCACCGCACCCCGGTCACCCCGACTCTCCTCCCTTGGGCGGGTCCCCCTCCTCCTCCGTCCCGCTGGGCGAAGGATGCGCGATACTCACCAGGACACTTTTTAAAGCGCGGACTTCCAGACCCTCGGTCGGAAGCCCTGGCCCTTCGCAAACGGGACGACGCGACAAAGCATCCCCGGACCCGAACCCGAGCCGGACACCGCCCTCCTCGGGACCGCTGGCTCCTCCGCAGCCCCGGGCCAGGTAGACAGACGCCCGCGCCGGCTTTCAAACCGACCCAACATGGCGCCGGCCCGCAGGGCGCATGCGTCGCGCTAGGCTCCGGGAAGGGAGGGGCGGGGAGAGGAGGAGCGGGGGGGGGGGGCAGGTTCGACAGCCCCGCGGAGGGTTCAGAGGTCAAAGGGCGTTGAGGGGCGTTAGGTCGCCGTCCCTCCGGGGAGGTGGGGCTTCTCCCTGGCCTTCCCTCTCTCTCTCGGAGCTGGGTGGGAAGGTTCTAGGCTCCACCCAGGTCCCATGCCATCCCCATCCCGGCCGCCGCTCTTCCCAGTGCAGGGAGGCCGGGCTCCCTGGGCTGCGGGAGGGAACTGTGCTGTAGGAAACTTGCAGGCGCCCTCGGGAGCCGGGTCCCTTCTCGGAGAGTCAGATCCTCAGCCCACGCCTTTCCAGGGAGCTTCGCGCGGCTTCAGAGCATCCCCTCCCAAGATAGGTACCAAGTCAGCCAACTCAGTCAGCACTCTGCCCACTAAGTCCTTCCTCGGAGCCACCCCCATCCGGCCCCAGAGCTCTGACCCTCCTGGGCTTCCACCCAGACTGGGGAAGGAAGGAAGTCCGATGGACTTGTGATGGGATTTAACAAACTCTTCCGGGGACCTTGATTCTCAGGAAAGAATGGCAGTGACCCAACACGGATGAGGGACCTGGTCGGGCAGCAGCACAGAAGGAGGGACATTATACCAACATAAAGATCACTGACTGGTGTGAACCTGTCTTATCAGGCTGGGACAGGATATGAGGTGGAGAGAATCAAGTGGCCACCGAGTGCTCTATCAAAAAAGATGCCGTCTCAGCATCGGTCTGTGTTGGTTTTCCACTGACCCTATGACTGAAGACATCCTTGACTTCCATCTAGTTCATCCAATGTTACATCATCAGGTAATAGAACTATAATTTGGCTGTGCCCTGCACCTCTGTAGCATCTCTGGCCTTCTAAACTTCACCTTCCTGTTTCTCTTAGCACATGAAGTTGGCAGGTGCCTTAGGATACAGTTCAGTGGTTCCTTAAACACACATCTATTGTGGAAATGTGAAATGGTTTTAAAATAATTATACAACCCATGCAGAAACTTAAAACTAGTGATAAACGCTAACAATGGTGAAATTTCTATACCAATATTAGATAAGTCACTGAGAAGTAAAAACCTGTGTTTTATTCACTAGGACAAACTCATGTTGGAGACCAGCCAAACAACGTTCGTGCATGGCCTTAATAGAACTAGATTCTTTAAAAGCCTAAATTTCATCTTGGTATCTTTTTAACCTGTCCTTTTAAAGGTTCTTTATAAGAAGTAGCTTTACAGTTTCTTGGCTTTGGGATGCAGCTTGGTGGTAGAACACTTGCTTAAGGTGATAAATTCAATCTTCACACTGAAAAAAAAAGAGTACTTTTCAAACTACTTGGTGGTGGTTTGAATAAGAATGGTCCCATAGGCTCAGATGTTTGAATACTTGGTCTCCAGTTGGTGGAACTGTTTGGGCAGGATTAGGAGGTGTGGCCTTGATGGAGGGGGTGTGCCACTAGGGAGTGGTTTTGAGGCTTGTGCCCTTTTTAGTGTGTGCCTCTCTCTCTGCCTCCAACTTGCAAATCAAGATGTAAGCTCTCACCTGTTCCTGCCACCCATGCCTTTGCTCTGTCATGATGGACTCTAATCCTTGGAAACCATAAACCCCAAATTAAATGTTTTCTTTTGTAAGTGGCCCTGGTCATGGTGTTTTATCACAGCAATAATTTTATCACAGCAGTAGAGAAGTAAGACCTTTTACTTCCACTTTAGGAATGTGTTTTTAATCAAGATATAAAGTGTTAATGAAGGACATTATGGAGATGCAAAATAATTTATAAAATATGTTGACCTAAGTTGTGGATCAAAATAACTCTACCTCTGCTTTATCCCCTTACAGGTTAACAGATATGGACATCTCCACCAGGATTTGGAGAATAGTTTCAATGGGCACTAAAATTCTGGATTAGATTTGTTAACAAAGGTAAAGAAACCAGGAGTCTAAAATGGTTTTTCTAATAGAAAAAAAAAATATCACCTAGTTATTCTGCCTTTCTAGGAAAGTAAGCAAGAGAATACAAATTTGTGATCCAACCCAGAGAATTTTAAGCGAGCACTAAGGATCTTCTAAAGGTTGTGATACTTATGTGTTAAGATGTATTAATGCACTTAAGAGCCAGTTATTTGAAGAACATTTTTAGTGATGGTTATAACTATTCATTATAAGAAACTCACCTTACTTGAGCCCCTTGAACACAACTCCTCAATGCTTCAAGCACATTTGCGTATAACTCTCTTAGCCTTTATGGATCTCCGTGAGTAGTAGTATCTCCTTTCTACAAATGTAGAAAGTTGAAATTCAAAGCCTAAGCGGTTTGCCAGCTTCTGTGTCAGAGTTGGGCTTCAAATCCAGATATGTTACCGTGTTCTTTGTAACATCTCTCCGGCCTCCCCAGCTGAACACTGGTTGGTGGGCTGAAGGACCAATGATCCCCCAGATGCCTGAATGCATTCACAGGAGACTCAGTGTCTTCATTGTTCTTGCTATAATTACTGTTGTACTTAGTTAGGGACCCACTACATATTACCATAGACTAGGTGGGTTATAAATAGCACAAGTTGATATACTATATGGCACCAGAGTGCCATAATGTTTGGTTTCTGGTCAGGGCACTCTTCTGGAATGTAGATTGCTACATTATGGCTGTGTCCTCAGGGCAGAGGTGGCAAATAAGCTGTCTGAAGTCACTTAGAAAGACACTAATCTTATATCCATGAAGTCTCTGCTCTCATGACCTAATCACCACCCAATTTCAGTCTATGAATGTGTGGAATGAAAACAGTCATTTGCAGTACTTACCAGCAAGGAGAGATTTAGTAAATGTGTTTAAACTGAATTGCTTTGAATATGATCTTGTCTGAATAGTTGACATTTCAGTAAAGGATTCAATGAAGCATAATCTCTCATGATTTTTTTCCACGGAAAGAGAACAGTAAATATAAGAACCTTGAGATAGGAAGTTTCTGGGTTGCATTTGAGGAATATCCAGGAGTTTGTAGCTAAGTGGACAGGAAGATAGCCAGTAGGTGTAGGCTTGGAGAGGAAATCATATATGGTCTCTGACAATCACTTTAACAGTGTTAATACTATGAGCACATGTAGATGTAACCAACCGTCTTATTAAATAAGAAACACAGAAACAATGTAAAAGAGAAAGCCGAGAGGTCAGAGCTCAGAGCTAAAAATCTCACCCTTCCTCCTGCTGTCCCAGCTTCCCGAAAGAGAGCTATATCCTGTCTGTTCGTTTTTATTTTTTAATAGTATTTTGTTCTGCCTTCTCATTGGTTGTAAACCCAAACACGTGACTGCCTCGTCACTGTCTGAATGTACAGCCCCCTAGGTCTTAAAGGCATATGTCTCCAGTGCTGGCTGTATCCCTGAACACACAGAGATCTATGGGATTAAAGGCATGTGCCACCACCGCCACACTCTTGCTATGGCTCTAATAGCTCTGACCCCCGGGCAACTTTATTTATTAACATACAATCAAAATCACATTTCAGTACAATTAGAATACCACCACAAGCACATGATGAGGAGAGTGTGACACATCATAAGGAAAAAAAGAAGCTTTTTAGAAATAAAGGTTTATTGAATGACTATAACATGCCATGCTCTGGGCATTTGTTTAACCCACTTAGGACTTTATTTAACACATTGACTCTTCAGGATGTTATGTATATGCTAATTTTACATCAAGAAGAAAATAAGAAAGTAGAAATATTACATATCATACTTTACATAGGGCAAAGATCGGATTTCACCCAGGCCCCTGATTCCAAAATCTGGCTTTAGACAAAATAGCACATCTTCTCATTTGAAGAAAAGTCTTTGAATGCAAGTGATCAAGTAATTATTTTGAATTGCTAAATGACAGATGTGGTTAAAAAAATAGTATTAAAATGTAATAGAGCACACCTATAACACCAACTATCTGAGAGACTGGGGCAGAAGGGTGGCTTCAGTTTATGAATTCAAAATTTTCTGCAACATAGCACTTTCTTATTTATATGATTCTATTTTACCAACCATTTGTTTTTAAATTTTCACAGGTAGATGGAGTTTAAGGCAATTGCCCAACAAACTGCTGAAGAAATTTTAGCTTACAGTCAAGATATATCTGGCTGGAAAGTTGTTAAGTCTTCAGTAAGAAAAAAGTATTTTTCAAGAGTTTATTTTTAAATTATTTTTTACTATAAAGACATTTTAAAATAATATGTTCTTTTGTAAGCCAGAAAAACATAGTTTTACTTTTGTTTTGTTTTTTGTTTGTTTTGTTTTCTGTATCTGACAGTTAATTTATTTCTGGATTTTATTCCCCTTTGAGAAAAAGATAACTGTTTCCAAGAAGACTTCTAAATTATTCCGCGGAAATCTGTAAGTACATTTTCCCATTTACAGACATTGTTTTAAGTTCAATGGCATTACCAAATCTGGAAGTCAATACCACTTCATAACTAGAACAAACTATTTAATAGTCACCGGGAAATGATGCCTGAAGTCATGTGCTTTTCATAAGCTAGAGCAATCGTGTATTGTGCAACAATTTTCAGACATGAATACAGTCACAAAGTAAATTGCTTCTAGACAGTGTAGAGCAACTTGTTCATATGCACAAGGCCCTGAGATCCATCCCTAACACCAGAAAACTACAATATGTGCACAAAATACTCCTCATTCAGAAGAATGGGAAAGTTCTGCAGAAGTGCATTGACATTTCTTGCCAACAGTAGCATTTTTAAGATGTCTAGAATGCTTCACTTTTCTCTCAAACCACTAAAAAGTCATTTCCCCAGCAGTCTTTTTCTAACTCTTAAGTGCAGATATTTTTCCTATAAAGTGCTTTAGAAGCATGTTTTTTGAGCTTGGACTATTTCAAACACAAGTACACTAAAGGTGAATGTGCTGACTTTTCTTTTTAGGTGTTCACATATAGTTCTTGGTATCACATCTGTTCCCTCAGATCACTGTGTTATTGAAACAACCATGACCAAATTTTTAGAAAACACTTCTTTGAAAACCTATACTTGCACCTCTGCCTGTCAGTGCGATGTTTGTGGGTTTGGTTTTTTTTTTTTTTTTGGTTTCTCATCTTACTAAAGTGTACCTGTATTTGTACACCAGTTTTTGTGAGTTTGTTGTTGTTTTGGAGATAGCTCTCACTAACTCAGCTTCTCCTGCTTTAGACTCCTGCATGCCACTTCTTTTATTAATAGATAAGGATGACATGAATTTCTCTTGGTCATTTTAATAAGTACCAAGAAAGTAATTCTTTCTGCTGTTGTCTAAGCAATAGATGACCTTAACAGTGGTACTTTCCAAAGTGAACTGAGGGTGGGAGAGGTGTAGGAATACTCAAGTCCAGGCATACCAGGGAAGTCAAACCTGTTTTAATGGTCAACTTGACACAATGTAGAATCACTTAGGAAAATAGTCTCAGGGAAGGATTTTCTAGACCAGGTTGGTTTTGGTATGTTGCGGGGCAGGGGCGAAGGGGTGTCTTGATCAATTGATATAGGAAGACCTAGGCTGCTGTGGGTGGCGCCATTCCTTTAGCCTGCTTTTGTCATGGAAATTTTTTCTTTGACCTTCAATTCTGATATACCCAGATAGTTTGGCTGGGTATGTTAGACTAGGTTGGCAATTGTGACCTTTTACAGTCTGAAAGACGTCAGTCCCATCCCTTCTTGATTTGGGTTGAAAAGCCAGCAGTTGTTCTGATGGCTTGCCTTTATAGGTGACTTGGTCCTTCTCTCTCACAGCTTTTGATAGACTTCCTTTGTTCTATAAATTTAGTATTTTAACTATAATGATTTAGGGAGTTCCTTCGCCTGGTTCTATTTGGTGTTCTTTGTGTCTTTTGTATCGGGGGTGAGGGCTTCTCTTTCCCTATTTCCAGAATTTTCTGCTATGGTTTTATTAAAAATACCTTATATGCCTTTTGCATGAAATTCTTCTCTTTCTTGTATGGCTATAATTCATAGGCTTGCCTTTTCATAAACTTGCATAATCCATTCATACTTTTTTTAAACTTTTATCATTGACCTTGACTGATTGATCCAGTCCTATGGTTTATCTCCATATCCTGTTTTCCCTTCCACGTGAGTCACTGTATCACCAAAGCTTGCAACTATACTTTTCTCAGAATTTCCGTCTTTATTTAATCCTATTTTCGTATTATGAATTGACTTCATTATTTCATTCAGCTCTCAGTATTTTCTTGGTAAATATGGGAGTCCTCTTTGAGTTGTTTTACCATATTTATAATCATTCTTTTAAATTATTTATCTGGATTTTCATCTAAAGTCATTTTAATTGGGGATCACTACTGTGGAATTGGTAATGTTTGGAGGTGTCAGGTTGTCTTGGCTCCATGCTCCTTGTGTTTTCTCAATGAGATCAACCTATCTTGAAGTAGAACATTGGTTAAGATTTTTGCTGTTGTTCCCCTAATTCAATCTGCCTTTCTTCTGTTCATGGACCTATATATAGTGTTTGTGGGAGACTAGACTGTAGTACAGCTGTTTTATATTTTTATCTGGTAGACTGGTGTTCCAGCACAGGACTCTCTATCTATAGTCTGTCTGTCCTTGCGGGTTAAGTATTATCTGCAGCATGTCACTGTCCAGTAGTTAACCCATTCTGAAAATAGACTAGCAAAGCACCCCTTGTTAGATACTGATTAATTTGAGAAGCCAAGATAACCCGATAGTACTGTATATACTAATCTGTTAGTATTAATGGAAAGGGAAAGAAAAGGAGGCAATCAATCACAATGAGACCAGTGATAGGTACTAGGATGTTAATTGGGAAGTTGAGGAGAGGGCCATACACAGGAGTGGGAATGATTGTATAAAGGAGAAATGGCATAGGTATGTGGAGAATACGTACGCAGATATAAACCAGGCCAGCCTCTGGACTCTGGAGAAGTAACAATGAGAAGAATAAGTACAGAATGAAGAGCAAGGAATCAAAAAGGGGATGAGGAGGGGGATAATAAATGTTCAAACAGTAGGTGGCAGTATTGTCCTGCTACAAGGCCTGCTGAACTGCAGCTAAGAAATATCTGTAGTAGGGAAGCAGGGCTGGATGGTGTTGTAGGCTAGGAAAGGGCTGGTGGAAGAAGAGCTCTGTTCTCACAGAGCTAGGAGCAGCTGGTGCCCAGAACATTACCTAGTTCCATAACTCGCCTTCTTATTGCACATTTGTGTATCTTCTCGTGAAAGGTGTCTGCTCAGTTTATTGGCCCTTTCACAGATAGGCAGGGAAGGTTTTGGTGTTTAATCGTTGCAGGGTTTTTTTTAATACAGTATAGGCATTAACAGCTTGAAGTATAGCTGGCCAAGATTCTCTCACTCTGTGGGCTGCCGTTCTCTCTGCTGCTTTCCTCCACTCTACAGTAGCCTTTTAACTGTGTGTCAATACTGTGGCTACTTACTATGCTGGCAGGCTTCTAGTCACAAGTTTATTTCCTAGACCTGCATCCTGAAGTGTTTTCCCTTACCAGTTTCAGAGTTTCATGTCTTACATTAAGGTTTTTGATCTAGTTTGAATTGATTTTTGTGCACGGTGAAAGATACAAACCCAATTTCATTCATCCGCAGGCTCTGCTTTTCCAGCACCATTTATTTAAAACGCTGTCTTTTCTCAAGTGTGTATTTTGATTCATCTTTTTCATTTAGATTGCATCACTCTTTTGGTCAGTTTGGCTAAGAGTTGGTCAGTTTCATTCTTTTCAAACAACCAACTCATCTGACAAATTCTCTTTTTCTTTGGAGCAGTGGCCCTGGATTGTTGAGCCATTCACATTTGCTGGCGACTTTCTAGTCTCCTCTTACAGATGGTGTTGCCATGGTGCCTGGGTTAGATCACTGTCTGCCATGGACTGTAGCAGGAGAGGAGGATTATGAGCATTGGTAATCTCTCAATCTCCGGTTGGAATACCCTCCTTTGTCAGTTCCCTGAGCTCTGCAGGAGACAGGTCCACCTGATTTGGATTTCCAGACAGGTGTAGCACTGCTGAATCTGGATCCTTACACAGTTCCGTCTGCGGTCACAAGCACAAAGCTGGCTCACTCATTTTTTTTTAATAAGAATGTATTTTTAAAACAGACTAGAGAAAAAAATGGTGGTGGTGCATGTGCCTTTAGTCCCAGCACTTGGGAGGCAGAGGCAGACAGATCTCTGTGAGTTCGAGGCCAACCTGGTCTACAAAACAAGTTCCAGGACAGTTGGGGCTCGAAAAACCAAAAGAAAAAGGTAATCTGTATGTTTTATTAACATTTGTGCTTTTTGTCAGTAATTTACTGCCCCCAGAAGGACCTTCAGTGGTTAGTTTTGAACACTTGGTTTTATGCATCAGAAGAAAGGCACGTTTTTCCCCTTCTGCTCTCAACTGCCCATGCCTCTAATGTTGTGAGGCAGTACACCAAATAAAATTTTAATTCACTCCCGTATATTCCACAATATAAATATCATTCCTCCTCCTCCTCCTCTTCCTCCTCCTCCTCCTCCTCCTCCTCCTCCTCTTCCTCCTTTCAGGTGAATAACTGCCTACATAGGTGACTGTCCCCAAGGAACCTACATTGTAATAATGAAGGGAAAACTTTCAGAAGCAAGCAGGACTTTGCTTCAAAGGCTGCCCGGGTTACCTTAATCATCATTTCTTCGGAGCCCTACATCTATCCCATGGATGTATGGAATAATTGAGGCACATTATCCAGAGAAGGTGTCTACCAAAGTCTGCCTTCTGCTTTAACATTTAATGCTTATTTACTATTTCCCATTGTCTCATAATATTGTCATAAATAATCAAAAAACAGACTTCCAAATCTCCCAAAAAGAGCTTCGACACGGTGTTCCCTCTTTACCCTCCATAATCCTATGCTTTCTAGTTCGTCCGTACTTCTCATTCTCTCCAGTGAGGCCTTGGGTTATATGTTTGGCTATCCAGCAGGATGAAGGCCGTAAGGGTAGAAACTAGATCCTCAGAAGTACATTAAATAGTTTACATTTGGTCTCACTTGGTGAACAGCTATTAAAAGACAGTGTTAGTCATCATCAGTAATTACATTTCAGAAATAACTGCTTCATGAAAGGGTAATTAGGTGTTGTTAGGTGTAGGTTAGAAATGCAAAAAGGTTGTCACTATCATTAGAGTTTACAGTCTTACTACAGAGAGACATTAGATAAGTAAAGGACAATCTGTGGCAGTGTGTGCAAACGTCTGAACAAAAATTTGTATGTAAATTTTAACTGTTTCATGTCTGACATTGTTGCTTTACATGGTGATTATTTGAGTTTATTTCTCCCCAGGCTTAAAACTGAGCACTCTCGCTGGCTCATGCTCGCTCTCTCTCTCTCTCTCTCTCTCTCTTTCTCTCTCTCTCAAATAGTAACCTCTTAAAAACATTTTTGGGGGCTAGAGGAACGGCTCACCAGTTAAGATCACTGGCTGCTCTTCCAGAGGTCCTCAGTTCAATTCCCAGCACCCACCATCTATAACTCTAGTTACATGGGATCTGATGCCCTCTTCTGATGTGCAAATGTACACGCAGACAAAACACCCATGTACATATAGCACATAAATCAATAAATCTTTAAAAAAAAACTTTTTTGAAAGGCCAGGCAGTGGTCTCCCACACCCTTTAATCTCAGCACTTGGGAGGCAGAGACAGGCAGATCCCTGTGAGTTCGAGGCCAGCCTAGTCTACAAAGCGAGTTTCAGGACAGCCAGGGCTACACAAAGAAACCCTGTCTCGAGAAACCAAAAAAATAAAACATACTTTTGACATGAAGGAAATAAAGCTAACATTAAGGAATTTCAGAATATCTCATAAAGGAAATTGGGAACCCACTTCTAAAGAAAAAGTCAAGTGTACAAGGAAGTTGTCTAAAGAATTTCTTGTCTGACCAGATCATGGGAGCCAGCCAGATACACGGGCACATGCTGTAATTCTAGCTTTGGCATTCAGGAGGCTGAGGGGGGTGTGCATAACTTTGAGACCATCCTGAGCTTCATAAAACATTGCACAGTTGGGGCTACACAGCTTGGCCCTGCCTCAGTAAACAAAAAGTAAAAGTAGAGGGTAAGAATTTCCCACACATGTGACTACTCTTCTCTCTAGTAACGACATTTTTGTTCTTTGCACACTCTCTGAAGAAATTTTAATTTTTCAGAGACTTAAAAGTTTTACCTCAAAACATCTGTTCTCCTTCTTTGAAAGAAATGAAAAAAAAATTAGGGTGTGACCATACCATTCTGATATCACTTTCAGCTGGCAACCTTCTGCAATAGTGGATTTGAATCCATTTTCTCCCACCACATTAATTTCTTGATGGATAACAACATCACACAGATTTAAAAGTCATTGTCTGTATTAAAAAGGAAAAAATAGGGTTTCACTAAATGACCCAGTCTGGTATGAACTCACCTTATGGCCTAGACAGAAATCATCCATAATGATTCTCCTGCCTGCTCAGCCTCTCAAGTAGCTGAGATTACAGGCCTATGCCCTCGGGCCTGAATAGAAAAGTAAACTTTGAAATAATTGCTGCAATGTTTATTTAAATAAGCTATGCTAGATCCAATTCAATACACTGTATTAAATAAAATTATTTAAAATATTATATAAAATTCCTTTTAGAATATGTAAGATAAAGAATCTAAAGTACAAATGAATTTTGTGCTTATACTGAGCTCTCATCCCCAAGATATCTCATTTTATATATATGCAAATAATAAAAAAGAATATAAATATTAACAAATTGTAGATAATAAAGTATGTTTATATATTACCTATAAAATATAATAAATTAAAAAGTGAAAATAAAAAGCACTTTTGGTCCCAGGTGTTTTGATAGCAGATACCAATTTCACAATTTCTTAACTATTGTTTGCTATCTTTTATTTCAGTAGCACTATATCCTCAGCTTAAACTAAATTTTTTAATTTTCTTTACTTTGATAACCATAGATACCGCATTGAAGGAATAATTCCAGTATCAACAGCTAAGCTCTCCAATTTCCTCTACCAACCTGAAAACAGAATTAAGTGGGATAAATTATTGAAAGCGTACAATGTGTTACACAAGATTGATTCGGTAATTTACTATTGAATAGTAAAGAATTATTTACTGTATTACTATATTTTTTAACTAATGTGAGTTATTAAATCTGCGTAGTATTCAATAGTGTCTTATAGATTCAAATTAGCTGTTTTTCATTACAGGGTTTGGGCTTGAGCCAAGGGCCATTTGCATGCCAAGCAAACACTGTATCACTAAACACACACACACACATACAAACAACATATACATATACCACTACTTTTATACTCTCAACCTCTGTTTTCTGAGTTATAGAATTATAAGCACACCATTTTTATTAGTCAAGAGTTTAATTCCAATTAGCTTTGTTTTGTTTGTAAATAATTATCATATTCCTAATGCCAGTCTCTTGTTGATATGTACATTTGTTATGAGGGAATTAAACTTAGCTATTCACCTCTATTATCTGAAAACAAATTTAAACATGCCTTGTTGATGAGGTATCAAAATTGTATTGGGGGAGAGGATGGTATATCCACACTAGTGGAGGTGCTCAAGGGGGACAGAGGCAGAGAGTCCCTGTGGAGCTGTCCTTACTAATGGTTGTGAGCTGTCTCGTGTGGATACTGGACACCAAACTCGGTCCTCTGAAAGAACAGTATGTCCTCTGAGCCATCTTTACAGCCATGAGTTTTGGGATTTTGTTGCAGCTGTTTTGGTTTTTAAGAAACCCACATGACCCCAGTGCTTCTTACACTGCCTGGAACTGGAGATTCTCCTGCCTCATCAGTAATATGACTACAAGTTTCCTGGCGCAGTTCAGTGTATGAATATGACAGTAGAGAACAGGTACAATATTGATGTGTACCATAAAGACTTAAGAAGAAAGAGCAGGACTGGTGAGCTAGCCTAAAGAGTAGGTGCTGAAAGATCACAGATGCTAAATCAGATTAAGATGCCCAGTAAAACTTCCCATGACAACTGAAGGCAGCTATCAGAACAATCTAAATGGAACCTTACGGTAGTTTATGCTGGGGTGATAGCAGTATGGAGCAAGGAGAATCAGGATGGAAGACACAGCCTAGAGATGAGTCAGAACTCATGGGCCAGCTAGCCTGTTGTATACGGTAACAAACAACAGAGATGTCTTGCTTTAACCGAAGTGGACCGCAAGAATCTACAGCCAAGGTTGTCCTCTAACCTCCACACATGCACTGTTGTAAACAGGTGCGTGTGTACACACACACACACACACACACACACACACACACACACACACGATAAAAAAGCAAATCAAAACATTTTGACAAACTCAAGACAAAGTGTGAACTAATGAAAGAACATTTTATGGCAGCACATATACTAAAAACCATACAGAGAAAATTTTATGACTTCTATGTAAGCATGACATGCAAACTAGTGAAGTGTTCCATATTTTAAAATATGGGAAATCCCAATGTAATTAGTCAAGCAATGTGAAAAACAAAATATCTTGTTTGAAGATCACCAATCCTATAGTAATGGTCCCTAATGAGAACAACATAGACAAAATTTAAAACAATTATAAAAAAAATTCAAAGAACTGAATAAGGGCACAAACACCAGAAAGAATTTAAAGACAAATTACTCTCCAATGAATTCCAAGAAAACAAAACAAACAGGTTAATAAAATAACAAAGTCGATTCAGGATATGAAAACAAAACTCAATAAAGATATAGAAACATTAAAGAAAATCCATGAAGCTGTGAAGCTGAAAATGAAAAGTCAAATTTAAAACTCAATAAAAAAAAAAACCTAACCAATTGAATGTATCATACAGACGATAGAATAGCAAAGCTTGAGGATAAAGTAGAAAAAAAAATGAATCACTCAGTTAAGAAATAACATTTAAGTGTAAATGGAATGTTTGAGATCTCCTTCAAATTATGGGCATAGTAGGAGAATTCCATGCCAAAAGCCTAGAAAATATTTTCAATTAAAATCCTAGAAGAAACAATTTCCAAATCTAAGGAAAGAGATAGCTATCCAGATACAAGAGGCATATGGAACACCAAATAGAACCAGAAAAGAAACACTCCCTGTAGTATTGTAGTTAAAGCACAAAAGACACAGAAAAAAAAGAAAGTGTATTCAAAGCAGTGAGAAAGGTTGAGTTACATGTAAAGGTAGTTCTATAAGAAAAAGAACTGATATTTCTATGGAAACATTAAAATCCAGAATGAGGGAAAAAACTGTTGCTAGGGTTTTAGCTAATATTAACATTAAAAAGACTAGTATGTGGCATTGATAAGACTAACTTTTCATGATATTTATAGCTGAATATTTGTAAACATCTAGATTACTGGGTCCTTGGCTCTTTGAGTCTTCATCCTGCAGAACAAAGGAGCAAATATCTTAGGTGCATGCTCCTCAGATTATCATATATTTATGCTTCTGTAATTTTACTTGCTTTATTAAACTTATCTTAAAGCCTAGAAAGACAAATTGTTGGGAAGCCCTGAAAGATAGATCCTTGTATCTGTAGAGAGACCTTATTTTCCTATCCTCTCAAAATAAAAGCAAATTATGTCCATGATCTTTTCAAACTGATTTGAGCAGTCAGTTTGAGAAACAGTGTGCCTCACTAATGAAAACCCAGACATGAGAGTTAATTGGTTTGAAGGGTCCACTAGCACTTCAAAAATGTCTGCTGTTGTTGCAAGTTAGTAGCAAAGAATGCTCCATGGGCACTAAAAAACTTAAAAAGCAGACTGAGGTCATGTGACTTGCCCTAGACTCCTTCGGCAAGTATGTGCCGCTGCAAATATGTGACAGAACAAGGCTTTGTACACCAGTCCTGCCCCTTCCAGTCCATACTCCATTTATCTCTGAATAATGTCATTTCACCTTCCTGTTCACATTTATAGTATTGCTTTCACCTCCAGGAGTGTTAACTGCCTGTTATGCAGCCCATGGATGAAGGAAGAATTGTCACTCTTGAAAAACAAATATACAATACAATGGGCAAATGAGATAAACAATGGTATATAATCATGAATCCTGGACTGGGAGAAGAGGGCATAGTACCACACAGGGTAACATGAAAATAGATTTAATAACCAGAGGCTGTGGGAGGCAGGCTTGTGGTGCCAAGATGTTGTGTAGCGTTTTCTCCAATTTAAAGCCTTACGTCTTGGAGAGAAATTTCTTGAGACAGGATATAAAGGGAAAGTGAACAGGCTACTTTATGACAGGATGTTTATAAGGAAGTGAAACATTCCATCCTTAAGGGAAGCTCCATTAAGATAGGAAGTAAGCAACTTAAATAGCTTTAGGAAGTCCCTGAAACTAACAAGATTCAGTAGGTTCCTCCCTCTTCACAAGTATGTGAATAGTAAAGATTGCTGAGAGTCAGACAAACCAAACAGCCAGAAAGAAGCAGAGAACTGCCCAACTGCCTGGAAGAAACAAAGACCAGCTGAACTGCCTGGAAGAGGCCCAGACAAACAGAGCCACCTGGAACAGACACTCTCAGACTCTGAGCTGCTTGCCGGGGTAGTGTAGTGAACTCCAGGTTTCCGGCTTTTATGAGCTGATTAACTGTGCTGGGTGGGCTTTGGTAGTGCAGATATCTTTGAGTCATTTCTGCTCCTGTCAATAAGTAACCTCCCACCCATATTCCGGAGTAACCTTTTTGTTCAGACTTTGGTGTATCCTTATGTTGCTCTCTCATGGGCACCCTTTCTGGGATGAGTAGACCTGTGTTTTATGTCTCCCAGAAAAAGTCTGTCATGCTACCCAGGCCAACAGAGAACTGAAATCACTGAAAGGGATAGTGACTGGGATCTCACATGCAAGCAGGACAGACTTGGAAGTATTTGCAGCTAAGCCATTCAAAATCCAGTTTCACCAGATGGTTTCAAACACTGGTCATTAATTTTAGGCCTTATGCCATAAAGTGCCAAATCATATATTTTTCAGAATATTTTACCAACCCCACGGAGGGACAAAATAGTGCTGTACAGAAATCAGAAGACCTCAGCTCTAATTCTGAACTGCTTTCTAGCTGTGCGTAGGATTTCATCTGGTGGGCCTTGTCCTCTCTATCTACAACTAGAATAATGATCTTCAGATTCCTTGCCGAATGTTGTGCACACCTAACTGTGACTGATGTTCCTTAACACTGTCAATGCAGGCTGATTTGGTGAGACCATCTAAAGACAGGCTAAACATACATGATGAAGTTTTTGGGGAACAATAAATTATTGACATTAATTTTTGCAACCTTTATGGTTTGATTTGTTGCAGGACACATTTATATGTCATACCATTACGAATAGTTTTGCCATGGGCTCCATTTCCCCTAGAGACTTTATCGACGTAATATACTTCAAACACTATGAAGGGAATTTTGACATTATCTGTGGTGAGTTGAAACATTTTGCCCATGTTTTAGAATTACTATGTGTCATTAAAAATGTTTTGCCTTTAATAGTTAGTATTAATAGTTTAGAAGAAACTATAGTTTCAGTTCTTTTGTTTGTTTATTCAGTGCAACCAAAAAGCTTGTGTCATGTACACAGGCCAGGTATTTTACCTAATCCAAGAGGTGCTGTGTAGATAAGTTGCTCCTGGACTTTTGCAGTATGAACTGTGGAATCAACACAGATAGAGACTGTAAACTAAAATTTCAATGTATACATTTTTAATCCTATAAAACAAAACTAGCCTTTTATATATAATTTTATACTTGGCTCGTTTAAAATGGGCATATATAATAATTGTTACAGTACTGAGTATAAAGTATGATAATACTGAGTACTTCTGGGTGGGTCTTTCCTTAAATGGGCCTATATCTCTTCTAGGGAATGCAAGTTTTGATATAACCCTAGCCTACTCTGCAATAATGTGACTCTGTGGAACACAAATAATATCATTATTTGCTAAATTGTGTCACTGACACAAAACCTTTTCACACCACAAGGTTTGGACTCTGAAAGCTTAAGATCATGTTTGATGAAAGTACTTTGACAGAATAGCAGTGAAGATCCCAATTTCCTTCTTGAATTTGATCTAATCCTATAATTTCTATGAGAATATTTTCTCTCCTGTAAGCTACTCAGGGATAGACAGTGAAGCTGTGTTATTACTTCCCAGTACTTACAATGGGATGACTCGAGTATTCTGTTTCACTGACAAGACTTTTCAGCCCTCTGACTCAAAGCCAGTTTTCTGGGCCTTAGAGCAGATCATTAAAGATGAATGTTCTCGCCGGGCAGTGGTGGCACACACCTTTAATCCTAACACTCGGGAGGCAGAGCCAAGTGGATCTCTGTGGGTTCGAGGCCAGACTAGTCTACAGAGCAAGATCCAAGACAGGCACCAAAACTACACAGAGAAACCCTGTCTCAAAAAAAACCCCAGAAAAACAAAGAACAACAACAACAAAAAAAACTAAAAGAAAACAAAAACAAAAAAAGATGAATGTTCTCATAAAATATGTATACATATTTTAATCATTGTTTTCAAAGTTTCATCACATAAAATGTTTTCACTACCTACTATATGAAATTTTGCCTTTTCTGAATTGTAAGGGCTGTGATTTTCCATTTTAAAAACAAGCTGTTTCCGGCCTCTATTAAGAGTCAGAGGGAAGGTCAAACAACAGCTGGGGTTTGAGCTCAGTGTCACAGTACTGTCACCGCCACCTGAGGACGAGGCTCCATCCCACCATAGCAAAATTAGAAAATAATTAAACAAATGCACAATGGAGCATTCCTTCATCTATATGAATTTGAGGCCACCCTTGTGTACATAGTGAGTTCCAAGCCAACCAGGACTACATATTGAGATCCTGTCTCAAAAAATAGTAAGTAAATAAAGCAACATATAAGTTTAAACTAGTGACTAGAAATAACCATTCATTTTATGCATCAACAAAGCTAAATTTTCTTAAATTTCCACTGAATAAATGTTCAATGTATAGTCAGTTTTCTTCTGGGTATTTTTATTTTTATTTTTTTTTTTTTTATTTTTTT